TGAGTGTTGGATAATTCTTGCTGGATTTTCGACGAACAAACCTATATTTATGTATGCAACTTTTTGTATTTTAATTGAAGTCTTGCAAGCAAAAAATGTCGGTGACATACATAGTATGTATGTACATACATACTTATATGTACATATTTATATGCATAGACGAAATAATTTCGATCGTTAACAGCTGTCATGCATTAAAGATTTTTCATTTGAAACATTTAGCAAAAATTAAAGTCCCCGGCTGAAAAGGTGGTGGGGATGTGAGGTGGTAGGACAATGAAGAATGACCGAGTGGGCAAATGGACGCAGACCGAAAGCGCATTGCTGTTCACAAGGGCCTAGCAGCGACACTTATACATATGTACATACGTGTGTATACGGATAGCGTTGCGAACGCATTGCCAAGTGATCGACTAGCCAAAGCGGCTAGCGGCCAAAGAAGCTACATAGCTAATTATTCAGTTCTTCAACTATCACACACGCACACACACACACGCACACACACACACACACACACACACAAATTTCACAGTTTGGCGTTCGAGGAGACTTAGTGGCTGCATTGGAATCAATTAATCTTGTGTGTGTGTTTTTGAAATAAGTGATCGCTTTCCACAACACCTCCCAGCGCACCGTACACCCACGAGCGAACGTGCCGAGTAACATGGCATGTGGCGTGTTGCCACATACATAGCTCAACGCTATGCAATGACGTAAATATTTAATTGTGCTGATTGCGCTTTAAATGTCAGATGACGGTGAAACAAAAGCGACAAGTCAAAGTACGAGTATTTAAGACGAAAAAACAATACATAAAAAAAGTCGCAATAAAATAAGCAATTAAATTTAATCGTGCTGACATATTATAAATCATATGTGAAAATAGCGTTTTAAAGTATGCCAAGATTAGCGGTTTGGCCAAGCACTTTATTTGTGTGTTTGTGCTCATCGATTTGCGACATTTGCAATCAATCATTCACTAGCACAAGTGATTGCAACAATTGCTATTTTGTAGCTGTTTTTTTTTTTAGATTCTACTCTGAAATGGGTTTTGTTTATAATTAGCATTTACTTATTTTGTTGTGGCCCGCTGTTTCGTCTTTCTCTAGTGAACATTTGAAATTCCTAGAACTTTGTGGCATAATAAGCACAAATTTTATTGAGTAATTTATAGTACATATGTACGTACAGTATGTACAAGTGTTGGGCAGTATCGATACCAAAAGTACTTAGAAGTCGATACTCAAAAGGATCGACAGCACCCGATATTTAAAAAGTATCGATACTGAGCACTATAAAGAACTCAGTACTCGCAAAAGAACTCGAAAGTACTCAGCACTTAAAAATACTCTGTTCCAGTAATCGCATTGATAGATGTAATCAGGATCCATTCAAAGTACTCAGTTTGATTAGGTGTCGAAATGATACTTAAAAGTACTGAGTTTTATTTACATTTAACGGTATTCAGAAATGAATGTACTCAATTTACAGTTTCAATAATTTTCAAGCACAATATTTGTACCCATCACAGCTAACCATTCATTTGACGTAATTTTAGGGTCATATATTAATTTGAATAAAATACTGCGTGCTTGTGAGATTTCTAAGAGTTAAAATGTTACCAACATATGTAGTATATTTAATGAAAGTACCTCAGTACTCTGAAAATACTCGATCCTTTAATGTATCGATACCGAAGACTCGATCCTCAAAAGTACACGATATTTCCCAACACTAGTATGTACTATATATGTATGTATGTATAATATAAATTGTACTATACTGTACATATATATAGTATAACAATGCGCCGTTTTTAAAAATGTAAAATAAAATAAAATAACATAAAATAAAATAAAATCAAATCAAATCAAATCAAATCAAATCAAATCAAATCAAA